TTTGAGTTTTTATTCAAGTATGGCCTCTCAAAAAGCCAAAACGTACTGCATAGCATACGGGTACTTAAATAACAATAGGAATGTCGACTTTTCATTCTTTACTGTTCCTAAGGATACCGAAAAGTAATACAGTGCAACCTCGATATAACAAATCGGAAGGGAACAAGTAAATATTCGTTGTATAAAGTAATTCGTTGAACTGAGGTTTGTTATGTTGAGGTTAGGTTGGTCTAAAATTCGTTATAAAGAGGTAAAAAAATAATACAGATAAATGATAATACATTTTTATCAAATTACTGTATGTATTTTCTATTTAAAAACAATGATGTAGGTAAAAATTTTTATAAGGAACACCTTTTACGTTTCTGAGACATTTCAACTTGGAATCTTTAACAATAGTGACGAGCAGCAGTGTTTACATTACTTTCCATCAAACAACAATTATTATTTTACGAACAAAAGCGTGTCGAAACCTGTCGTGACATGAATCACACTATGAGATTAAGAGTCATACATTGGTGGGAACTTTTTATAAAGAATTTGGGTTGACAAAATTCGGTAATTAGAGGTATTTATACCTTTTCTTGATATTTGGAAATTCGTTATAAAAAGATTGTTCGCAAAAAATGTTCGTAATGTAAAGGTATATTTTACATTGACTCTTATGGACAACTCAAGGGGATTACGAAGAATTTGTTAAATCGAGGAAGTCGTTATATTGAGGTACGTTATATTAAGGTTGCACTGTATATTATTTATAGGTAGACTTAGACAATTAGGTATTTAGATAGTGACGCCATAGTTACAGATTCATTATTCGATTAATGACCCGACCACAGCTTCGCAGTTTTCGATTTTTTCGCGTATAATACGAATGAACTTAAAAATTAATAAGGTTTTCGATCGGGTCTGGCACAAAGCGCTTCTTTCGAAGCTTCCTTCCTATAGGCTTCCCGAGAAATTGTGCATATAGGCTTCCCGAGAAATTGTGCAATTGGATCACCAGTTTTCTGGCTCATCTGAGCATCTAGGTCGTAGTAGGCGGTATATGCTCCGATTACAAGCCTATTAACGCTAGTGTTCCGTAAGATTGTGTGCTATCACCAACGCTGTTTCTACTGCATATCAATGATATGTTGCAAACCGGTAACATTCATTGATGATATGTTGCAAACCGGTAACATTCATTGCTATGCAAATGACAGCACTGGTGATGCTCTATACACCGGCCATGTCAATATTTCTCGAGAAAACGTCGCCGAGTACCGGAACAAACTTGTATCTGAAGTCGAGTCTTTGCTGAACAGTCTCGGATTGAGGGGGGCTAAATCTAGTCCAGTTTAATCCTCAGAAGGCAAAAGTTTGCACGTTTACCGCTAAAAAGAACCCCTTTGTCGTATCTCCTCAGTTTTAAGGTTTTAATCCCCTTGTTGCCTCCGCCAGTAGCGGAATCCTCGGCGTCGTCATATCGTCACTTGGAAAAGAAGGCCAAATTGGCCTCTAAAAAACTTGGCGTGCTTATTTTTATATATTATTTATTAGTATTTCATGGCGGCGCACCGCCTGCAACTTTACAAGGCGCAGGTTCAGCCGCACATGAAATACTGTTCCCATCTCTGGGCTGGGGCTCCCCAGTGCCAGCTCCTTCCACTTGACCGCATCCAGCGCAGAGCGGTTCGAATCGTCGACGACGGAGTCCTTTCCGATCGGCTCGATTTACTGGCGCTGCGAAGAGATGTTGCATTCCTTTGCATTTTTTTCGCATTTATGACGGGGAGTGGTCTGAGGAATTCTTCGGATTAATCCCAGCCGCCAAAATTCACGAACGCACATCGCGACAAAACTCCCGATACCATCCTCAGAAGGAGGTACGAACCTCGGCTTGAATCACTATCGCAATTTTGTTAACGGGTCGCAAAAGTTAGAAACGCCCCGTATCACGGGTGTTAAACCTCGTGTACGGGGTGTGTCTGTGACGACGCATTCGCCGGCGAATGCGGTGTGCCCTAGTGTTCTGTACTAGAGTAGTGTCTGAGTGTGTGTGTGTTTATGATTACTAAACTAGTTCCCTCTCCTGTGGAGGGAGGGGGGGAACAGACAAGTGACGGCTACGTGGCTTAATAATGAGGTATGGCCCTAAGGGCCGGAGGTTCGAATCCCGGACGGAACAAGTATTTGTATGGCGTACAAATAATTTTTCCGGGTCTAGATGTTTGTGCTTGTGCAATTTATGTTTGTTAACTGCCTCCACGATACAGGAGAAAATCCTAGAATAGGGGGTAACGTTTTTTTTAAATAAAATAAAAGAAATACTAATATATTCCATAACATCTCGTTGTATTCTACTATACAACATGTAACAGAAAACTAATTGTATGTGGTTCTCTAACTGACACGAGCATCGGTAAAGCGGGGTCTTTAACAATCCTCTTACTCCCCGGATAATGCAGAGGTAATAAAACCATATACAATTTGTAAATTATTTTTAATTAAAATAAAAAAATTAAAGTTCAAGTTTTTTTTTACAAAAAAAAAGCTATTTCTTTACGTTTGAATACTGATTCTCATAACGCACTTAAGGGGAACCACAAGGTTTTTGTTACATGTTGTATACCAACTAATATCAAAGGATTCAATTTGTTTTCTCACAACACCTAACCCTACAGTAGAAGCGGTCTTAATAAAGGCGAGTAACGGGCTAAATTATACAGACACTCGCCCGCGAACGTAAGATGCATGTTGATTTAATACGCACGCCACGTAGTTTTTTTTTTTCAACGTAATAAACTACTATACTGTGTATGAGAGTTCGTGTTCATATAATAATTGTACGAAACGTACATAATAGATTTATGTATCCTACTTAGCAACCCTTGTCGGCATGTATCACCGCCGCAATATTTATAAATTGATCATTTTATAATAAAACTTCTTATCAACAACGACTTATTTAAACTAGTTCAATAACTGCAGTGCACTCACAAAACATGTTTCTTCAGGTTAAACAACTACACAACTAATTAAGGGGAATTGAAAATTTCTCGAAAATTTGGTGGATTTCCTATACCACACATATTTTATAGATTACGAACCAAATTTTTTTTACCATGTATATAAAACACGATAACATGTAATTTATTTGATAGAAAAAAATTGTAAAGTGGACTCTATTAAGTTACATTTCTCCATGCCACCACAACATTTTTATGAATTAGTTCATGGAATTATTTTGAAAGCAAAGTAAATAATTATATCTAAGTGACATTTACCACTTTCTTAATTCATAAAGTAGTTGTGTAAAAAAAATATTGTTCGGCACTTACGACGAAGGTCACTTCCGAGACGTGCAAAGTATTATAAACATTAGCGACGTTGTAACTAAGTTTAAACTCACAAGTTTGCTATCAGAGAGTGATCCTTCTGTTCTTTTAATTATTATTTATTCAGTGGTACTACTAAGATTCATTAATATTAGTTTTTTTATTTAATGTAAGAACTAGATTTATAAAAAAAATAAATTCACAATATTAATTACCATAATAATAACACTAAAACAAAAAGTTTAAATGTCTTCTTATAATAATAGCTCAAGAAACATTTACTCACTAAAAATTTGAAGACGGTAGAACTGGTAAAGACAGAGCATAGTAATCACACATTTCTTCACAATATATTTTCGATACAAAATTTTCATCACGCCTTAAAATTTGAAAAACCATTTTTTGTTTGATGTTTGGCGCAAGTTTGAAAATTTTCTTTTCAATGCCGTTCATACCCCAATATTTCATTCAAAAACACTTTTTTACAACATGTGTAAGCTACTAATTCAGAATCGCAAATGTACAAGTAACGTCAAGCAAGTTACGCAGTAGCAATTGTATGGATTCCCGGATTCTACTAACACGCATTTATATAAATCTATTAAGTGTACGGTTATTTCAATTTAATTAATATTTTAATAATCAACTAAACATATATTATAGGTTATTGGAAGGAAATTACCGTTAAAAGACAAAATAATTTAGTGTCCATAACTTCTACAAATAAGAACAAATAAAACTTAAGAAAGGTTGAAATATAAGATAATTAGGAGAATCAGGCGTTACTTTGCGGAAATCCATTTTATTAAAGATGTTAAAAGTTAATCAGCTAAAATCAGGGTAATAAAATAAAATGATGTGTCTAACCTAGTTCGAAGTCCTTAGCTGGTCTTCTTACCTTCGGTCGAGACAGTGAAATTATATAATATACTAGCTGGCCAGGAAGACGTTGCTCTGCCCTTTCCGACGACCCTTCCCATAAAAAATCCTCAAATTCGCAATAAAAAATATTGAAGGTCACCTATCTGCATTAAAAATATCCTATCTCTCAAGTTGAACCAAACTACACACAATGTGTTTAATTTAATTGAAATCAGTTCTGTAGTTTAGGAGGAGTTCATCGCGGACAAACAATATGACACGTAATTTTTATATATAAAGATAATGAAAATGTAATGTCGTGTAAATAATGTAATCTGTTCTTTAGTTTAAATATAAATTTAAAACTTATTTATAAATATTCGATTTTGTTCAGTTCTGCTGTCGGAAGACAAAACGCGGTATTAGCTCTTTGGTTTTTTAGCGTAAAGCATGCTACCTTTTGTCCACTGATTTGCATAACTATACACATAATATTAATTCGGTGATAGGACACGTGGAAAAGCGCAGTAATTGCAAAAAGGACATAATTTTGCATCTTTATGGTCCAAAGGTATTTTATCAATATGTTAACAATGTGTGTGTACGAAAAGAATAATTAAGAATCCAAGTAACACAAACAACAGCATAACTAATCGCTTCTAGTGTATTTGAAACTTAAAACATTTATAAACTTAGTATGTGGTATGGTATAGTTATGATTTTACAGCTGCATAAGATTAAAAAAACAGGACAAGTGCCAGTAGGACGCACGCCGTACGGGCACAGAGTAAAAAGTCGAATGTATTTATTTATTTATTTAACAATTTATGGACACACAAATAATGGAAAGGACACAACATGATGAAGAGTTTGTAGAAGGGCGCTAATTATATCATTATGAAATTTCTTCCAGTAGACCAGTTAAAAAGATATGTGATAGAGAAAAGATAATAAGGTGTGCACTTTGTTATTATATACACATACATACATATATCCATACAAGATAAAATAAATACATACATATATATAAATACACATGTATATATGTATATATAGTCATAATTAAATATATATAAATAATAAAAAGTATAGTAAATATCAAAGATATGGAAACTTACATAGAAGACAGAGATAAATAATGTTCTTTTACACGTTTTTTGAATAATGTGACTGTTTTGATTTCTCGAATAGGAGGAGGAAGTGAATTCCAGAGTCTTACTGCATGTACAGAGAATGAACGGGAATATGAATGAGCTTTAAAGGATGGGAATTTTAAGAGGGTCTTAAGGTGAGATCTACAAGCTGCATCTGGAGATTTAAAAAAGGTAAATCGATTACGAAGGTATGAAGGGAAATTCGGACTATGTAAGATGTTAAAAAGAAGACAAAAGATACGAGTGTTCCTGCGAAATCGGATCGGGAGCCACTTGAGCTGCTTTCTGTATTTAGAGACGTGGTCAAACTTCTTGAGTCCAAAAATATACCGAATGCAAAGGTTTTGCAATCACTCAAATTTGTTTAATTGCTCCTCTGTAGCATCCAAAAAACAGAGATCAGCGTAATCTAAGATTAGCAAAATGAGAGTTTGAACAAGAGAGATTTTAGTTGAAGGGTAAAAAATTTTGAAGTCGTTTTAACGAGTGAAAAGCATAATGAACTTTTCTGTTTAAGTCCGTTATATAAGCACCCCATGATAACCTATTGTCAATAATTAGGCCCAAGTTCTTCGCAGATTCCGAATAAGCAATTGATGTGCCATTGATAATCACATTTGGCAGGGTGCAGTTATCAATAATGCTACTATTATATCTGCTACTTCCTATTAACGCTTGTGACTTATTTGAATTTATAGTTAAACCATGGGATCTGGACCAACGACTAATTTTATCCAAATCGTCATTCAGTGCATCTATCGCCAATTTAGCTTCAGATGCCTCAAAGTGACGGTAAAGCTGCAAATCGTCTGCATAAAGATGGAAGTTGGAGCATGTTATTTTCGTTATAGAATTAATAAAAACGGTGAAGAGTAAAGGAGACAAGACGCCACCTTGGGGTACACCTGCAATAAGATTACACCAGTTGGAATAAGTGTCATTGCAGCGGATACATTGCGAGCGTCCCCGAAGATAGGAATCAAACCAAAGAATGGCCGAAGATGAAACATTGATAGCCTGAAGAATTTTAAGGAGGATATCAAAGTCAACAGAATTGAAGGCACTACTAAAATCTAATAAAACGAGTACTGTTGATTGCTTTTGATCTATGGCTCGACGGATATCATCAGTTACCTGAAGAAGAGCAGTTGTTGTACTGTGACCGAGCCGGAATCCAGATTGTAATGTATTTAAAATATTGTTGGAGTTAAGATAAGAAGAAAATTGATTGTGAACAATATGTACCAGTACTTTAGAGAGGAATGGTAATATAGATATAGGTCGAAATTCAGAAGGTAATGTAGGGTTAGCAACCTTGGCTACAGGAATAATGTGTGCTAACTTCCACGAATATGGAAAGCAGGAGAAAGACAATGAAAAATTAAATATGTAAGTAAGAATACAAGGTAAAATTATAGTTAGCATTGTGGAAGAAATTTTATCGTTTCCCGACGCAGTAGAAGATATACTGATCGCTTTACTTCATCTTCTGACACTGATACAAATTCAAACTGGGGGAAATGTTGTAAAGGGCATCTGGATAATTCTAACAAGGTCTTAACCTTTATAAATGAAGATAAGGAAACAGGTGGGAGAGAAAAATGTTGATTGAGAGTATCAATATCAAGATTTCCAATCGCAAGCGCAGGATGTTTGCCAATGCCGACTGTTTTGAGAAAACTCCAGGCTTTTCTTGAATCGCAATTTGAAAGTGAGTCATGAAAGTAGCGCCTTTTAGCATCTCTACACAGACGATTGCAGCGGTACGCAAAATCTTAAACTTGATTAGATTTCTTTCCAAGGGACAATGTTTATATCTACTTCTGGCTTTATCCCTACGTGCCATAAGCTCTTTTATCTCTGTTGTAATCCAGGGCGCAGGACAATGTTTTATTTTTATACGTTTGAGAGGTGCATGGCAATCATACAATCTAAGAATTAAAGCAGTAAAGTTATTCACCATATTATCAATATTTTGACAATCCATTACGGAAGACCAATCCATTTTACTTGCATCTCATCTTATGGCTTCCAAGATTTACGCTTTGGTGGACGAACACGGTACGAAATGAAAATGAGGTCATGGTACGAAAAAGAAGCTGTTATTTGTCCATAATTCGCAATGTTATTTAAAGATGAAACTATTATAAGGTCAAGTAAAGACGGAGCACAGCTATGTATACCTATGCTGATAGGGTTATCACCTGATGCATGAAAAATTTAAAGAAAAGAAATTATATAGTATAAAACAACATGTGTATTCATTGTAACTTAAGTTAATATAACACCATGTCTATTATTTGTAACTTAAATTGAAACTACCCACTCCTAAACAAGCAAAATATACATATTTTCATAGAATAGTGTCTTATGACATAAGCTGTGGTAGCTCAGGGTAATAAGCGCTCGCTGTAAATAGGTATTCTCAAAGAAGCTTCACATTATATATTTCTATCAATATCATTTTCGTCAGATAATTTACCTATTCATGAGTACAAAAAATCCAGGTGGTGGTGGTAATTACTGTGATGTGTGATCTGACTGTGATGTGTGATCTGACTGTGTAGTGGGCACTGTCGGTGGTGGTGGTGTCGATAGTATTGGTGGTAGTAATGGTGTGGTGGTGATGCTGGTTGTGGTAGCGGTGGCAGTAATGGTCCACTGTCCACCACCACCAATTATACTACCAGCATCACCGCCACCACTGACACCATTACCAGCACGATCAGCACCACCGTCCACCAGCACCAAACCACCAACACAACCTTCACTTCACCACTGTCTGGAAATTGTATTATTTTCTCTCGAATTTTTCATATATTATACTGCACACCTGTTAGGCATTTATGCTATTACAGAACACTAATTATTTACCTATATAAATCTATGTTTTATTTTCTATTACACAATTTTTAAACTTAACTCTAATTGTAATAATACTTAATAAATTATTAATTGATCTATAAAATTACGAAATATTATTTGTCTATTTATTCCAATGCGCACGACAAACAGCCCCTTCGTTCATACTCCGACTGAGCCGGCGCAAGCCGGTTTGTACTTTGTACCCCGACGGAGCGTCGGTGAACCTGTCGGCGAGAGTACACTCACACATCGCTGCGCTATGTGTGTTTGTACCTGCAGCAACGTTTGTATGTAGCTTCCCCTCTGGTAGATTTCTTTACTCATGTGGTACAGGTTCTTCTCTAAATAAAATTAATTATCGGTAATATAGGTAAACACGGAAAAATGCTTTTAAAAAAGGTACGTCAAACTTAAACTTTGCAACGTAAGAGTTATTGAGGGAATATCTTACATATACATATACAGGCTTACATATACAGGGTTATTTTGCCTTGTATACCTAAATTTGCAGAGAAGGTTCAGAATAAGTAACATAGGCGAATGGTGAAAAAAAATTCACCTAACATTCTGTCCTTTTTATCTTTAAAATTCAGATTGCGTTGTAATGTCATTCATAAATATTTAACGCCTACTATTTTACTACGCACGTACACAATCATAAAGGACAAATTTAGGTACCTTATCGCGCGTCTCCCCCTTCTGTTAACGGCTGCATCGCTATGTACCTACGTCCACCCGCCAAACCGACAAATGACAGTGTTGACCGTGACCTCATTACGTACGAGTGTGATATTTTTAAATTTTCGTAGGTCGATTCGTTATCAATGACAGAACGAGAATACTATGAAATGGTCCGGTGTTACATTTTGAGCAATTAAAGTTTACGTAGTGCGCAGACTATACGAAAGTGAGTATTCACCGCGGCAAGAAATTAACGTAGCTACGTGTATCAATCGAAGAAGAATTGACAGCTTATCAAACAAAGTGCAGTGGGCGATAATTTAAATAGTAAATATGAAGAAAGGTGGATTGCGCACGGAGGCCCTATACTAAGGACCGCAAAATCGCCGGACCTCTCACCGTTAGAATTTATTTGTGGAGTGAAATAAGACTCCCGTTTACGTCTAAGAGGCCCAAAGTTTTGAAGGCCGCCGCAGCAAAATTATTGCTGCATTTACGTAAGTAAAAAGTGCTCAAGCACAGGTAATAAGTGTAAAAAAAAAATAAACAAATAATTTAAGAAAACGTGCTAATCTATGCATGGAGAGAAACGGATTCTGTTTTAAGGCGCAGGTTGAGCAAAATGTCGCGCTAGTCGTTATTTGTGCTGTTTTTAGAAGCTATCTACTTTTTATTTAAAAGATATATCAACAAATAAAAAACACATTATATTTCTACATAATCTTGACTCCATAAAAGCTATATCCAATTTTTTTTTAAAGGAATAAATATTAATATAATCTCCTTACAACGAAACCACATAAATGTGAAATTATTATTGATAACATGCATCTCCTCGTAAAGTAAGTATTATTTTATTTTGCGATTTACACCAATGGATAGGCAATTTATTAATGAATATTTCTATAGAAAATTTTTTTTCAAAAGACCAAAATTTGATTTTATTAAGAATTTATTTTAAAATCTGGGCATATTCACTGCTCACGGGCTTGCTGAAGTCAGTGAGCCCTGAGCTCTTCGACGCGAAGCCCGTGTCGTTAGAGCGTCGACCAGCACATACACTCACGTCATATTAGTCGATAATAATATTACTTATTAGGTTATTTATAGGTAGTATTATTTGTTTGTTTTGGGTATAATTTTTCGTATTAGTTATATATATATTTGTTGTGTTTTTTACTGCGCGATGAAGCTTTTTGCGTGTATTTTCTTTGAAGTAAATGCAAATAAAAAAATGAAGCACCATTAGCATGTAAGGTTCGAATCCATAATTAAAATTTCGACAAATATTATAACTTACACTACAAAAGGCTAATTCAATATTATCACCCAACCACAATATCTTATTAGGTATAGTACCGCCTCGTTGGTCTAGTGGTTGTAGTAGTGCGAGTGCTGATCATGAGGTCTCGGTTTCGAATCCCGGGTCTTGTCAAAAAGTCAGTTATGAGTTTTTGGCCCGTTTTTGTTTTTATTTATTGCTTGTTTTTTCTTCTTTTTCAAAAAAAAATAATTGAGTACATAAGATGTTCTATACGCCGAATGTCAGAGAGAAAAGCTAGTACATCTTTTGCTAAACTTTAAAATCTAAAACCAATTTTAAAACAGACGAATTGATCATAACTCCCTTAGCTATAAAATAAGTTATGATCTAATTTATGATATTTATTCCAGTTTATGGCAGCTCTGATTTATATTACGTGCCTGAAATTAGGTACATCTTTTTAGGTACGTCAAACCAAATAACAGCCGGGCGGCTGACATTATGCACTCCATATATTTCTTATATTATCTAATTACAGTCTCATTAATTTCCACTAAAAGAAAATAAATAAGTTGTAAATTCAAACAAAAATAACTGCATTACTATGTCTATAGTCATATTCATACAAATCAAAAAGCCTATATATGAGATAATGTAAAGTAAGCATAATTTTACCGGGATCATAACTTGTCAAATAATTAGGAAAATGATCGTTTTTCGTTACGTACCTGTTTTGATTTTAACACTGTTAGGTTTAAAACTGCGAGGTAATATTTGAATAAATATAGTTTCCTCTAGGTACAAAGAGTTTTTTAGATGAAAATATTTGTAGTTAAGACTACTAGAAATCTTATTTATGGAGTAAAAAGGCGAAGACTGCAATTAGGGGCATGACTGGTATTAGGGGCTTCTACCCTAATTCGGTAAAAAGTATCTAAGTAGGTATTAATATACCTACTTTTTACTATAAACTAAAATTTTTTTAAACTAAATTTAACTAAAAAAAACTAAAGTGACCATTTATTTTTTAACTCAAAACAGGACATGGGTTTATTTACACTCTAAAAACTATAACTTTACACAATTAGTGTTCAATATAAAATTATATTCGGTATAGACGGTAATTATTAAATGCAACATATTTTTTTTAATTATTAATTACATTTGTCAGTGGATTAAATTTGCTTTAATAAAGTTGGTGATAATTTTAAATAAGAATAAAATTCTGCTTAAGTTTTTTTATGGTTACCTTTGTTAACAACATCGCCTTTAGAACTGGAACCGTAAGTGTTTCTTTCAGACGTCCACAATTTGTTCAAAATAAAAAAAATATTCTTTCTACCGGAGCATTTGTACCAGGGAGACATAAAATATATTCGATTAAAAAAAATTATGTTGAAGATTGTTGACTTTGAATACTTCCATCCAACGAGTTACGGGACAATTTTGTGTCCCGGAGCTTTGTTTGGGGACAATGAGACAGGTGACTGAGAAAAGGGACAGTCCCGTTCAAAACGGGACGTATGGTCACTTTAGCTATAAACCGGCGACGGCTCCGTGGCGCACTGGCTTAGCAATCAGTTGCTGCACTGGGGGCCGCGAGTTCGAATCCCGCACGGAACAAGTATTTGTATGGCCTACAAATAATTGTTCCGGGTCTGGATGTTTGTCCTTGTGCAATTTATGTTTGTAAACTGCCTCCACGACTCACATTCTATATTACTCTCACTCTGCGAAACATCCTATTTATTTATTTATTCTTTATTGCACCAAATATTTGTACAAAAGGCGAGCTATCTATCTATTTACCTATAGTGAGTAGGTATCTTTTAAACTCACAATTTTCAATGCTTCATTTTTAATATATAATTAATTATAAAATTTCATAATTAGATAATATTATATGAGAATACATAACTCTAATATAATGCAACTAATATACCGAATAAAAAATTTGAGATACATTTATCGTTGTACGCTGTGTGTATTTCCATAAAATAGTTTATTGATGTTGAAAAAATACTACGTTCTTACAGTAGGTGGCGCCTTACATATTTCTTACGTGATATTATATTGTAGCGAGTCGGCGCGGCACACCAAATGCTCAAGGTCGTTCGCATGGAGTAGCCCCTTAAGGTATCAATATTAGTTGTGTAGTCTCACATGCGTAATTTAGTTGTAAATAGTTTATTCCAATTTTTTAAATACGCCATAATAATAACAGTTGTTGGTTACGTCGTTGGTAAGCAAAAATATATTTTTTAATTTCCCGTCAAAACTTTGAAGAGTAAATTGGAATCATAATTCGCGTTTAATGTAAAATAACTACACGTATTAACTTAAGCATTAGTAGTGAGCGTGTCACTAAGAAAGTAAACAGTAGGCATAAGCTTTGTGAATAGAATCACACACAGAGCAGGGCGCGTACGCGTAGTTATTGCCCAAAAATCATTCAAGTTAGGATAAATTTAAATAAAAGAAGCCTTATTTACTCCATTTTTTTTTTCAAAAACTGCAATATCGGTATATCATTATTTATATATATTATTGTATTTATTTATGTATATATTATTTGAATTTAAATATAAAATTTGAATACTATCACATATACGGACATCGAAAAGATTGTAGGTATTAGTTCGGGGAGCATTCATGCCATCCTACATCAACATCTTAGAGTGAGGAAGCTTTGTTGTCGATGGATCCCGCGTTTGCTCTCCGAAAGCGAAAAACAGACTCGTGTGGATTGGTGCCATGAAATGCGTCTACGTTTTGAAAACGGGGCATCTAGGCGTGTTTCAGAAATCGTTACTGGTGACGAGACATGGATTTTTCAATAAGATCCGGAAAATAAAAGGCAATCATCGGTATGAGTCTACTCAGAAGGACAGTAACCGACAAAACTGCAAAGACCTCGCAATTTCGACAAAAAAATGGTGGCTAGATTTTTTTCACGGAGCGGACATTTGTCGACATCAATGCTGGAAAATTGTAGGGCAGTTAACTCTGAATGGTATACTACAGTTGCATTACCCAAAGCTTTTCAAGCTGTGCGGGAGAGAAAACCAAAGACCGGACTTCGGTGAATCATGCTACATCACGATAACGCCTCTTCACATACCTCCCTTAGAACAAAGCATTTATTGAGGAATCTGGTGTTGAAACTCAAAAAGAAAGTCATGTCAAGTCAAGTCAAAGTCACCAACTCTACAGCCCTGACTTAGCTCCTTGTGATTTCTTTCTGTTCCCAAGAGTCAAAGAAAAAAATAAAAGGCAAGTTTTATTCAAACGCCGAAGAAGCCGTGGCTGCCTACGAAGAAGCGATTTCCGACCTGTCAGATCAAGACTGGCAAGTGTTTTCAGAGGTGGTTTAGGCGAATGGAACTTTGTATAGAG